GACCCGGGAGGTTGCCGACCGAGCTCTTACATTATTCAAAGCAGTAATTTTACTCGGGAGGAAAGGTCACTTGGGATAAAAATAAACTCGTCGCTCTCGAGCGGTTCAAGGATATCTGTTGGGATTATGGTAATGCATCGGGGACACTCCGGGCGGAGTCCGACGATGCCCTTGACCTTGTCCTTGTCCTTGGCCGGGATTCTCGACTCGATCGCGGTGTCGATATTCGTCGCGGTATCGCCACTGATCTCGAGGATCTCGAGGATCCAAACCGGGTCCGCCGTGTCCGCCGTGTTCGCGGTGATCTTCGTGTTCCCCCTTCTGCCCTCGGGAATCCACGGCAGCCCCGCCGTCGTCGAAGCGACCAGCCTCGCGATGTCCGTCCACGTCTCTCTTCTCCTTCCCCGGACGCTAAACGCAGAAACGCTCCAATGAAAAAAAAAAGGCACACGAAGAAAAAGAGACCAGGAAAAAAAAAAAAAAAACGAGGCTGACCTTATGGGCGCAATCCGTGTCCTCGGGTTTACAGGGTCCGTGCTCGTGACTGCTCTCCGCCTCGTCGCCTGAATCGCAGTTCAGGATAAACATGTTTGCACGAAAGACGAAATTGAAAGCATCGGCGCGAGCAAAAGGATCCCGCGAAAGAAATCTGCGTAGGAGCCGAGAGATAAAAGACGAAGCTCATCTCCCCCCACATAACGGGTGGATGGGCATGGAACTCCTCGGGACTCTTCGCGTTTGCGAGTTCGACTCCCCGGAGTTTTCCTATCGGGACTTCCCACTCCACCATTATGATCATTATGGGATGGTTTCTCATCCGATGGAGACATATTTTTTTAATTTTCACGAAAGCATCCCAATCCCATATCCTTTCCTCTTGTGCGTGGCGCCGCTAGTCAAGCGACTAGTGCGTCGTCTGCCTTCTCAAAATATCCGAATACCTTCCAGTTTATCGGTGGGACTGGCGTGGGAATACGTTACGAGTCGGCTAGATGGAGAAAACCAAATATATTTGGCTTTTTATCCGAAATCCAGCGAAATCTATTCGGAAGCCGAAATTGTATATCTTCGACTTTCTCGCACCCGCTGCAGTGGAGTTGGGGGGGGGGGGGGTGAATCCAGTCTAAAGGCGTTGCAACATCTTCCAGACTCACCTTTGAGAAAGCCCTTGGTGTAGACAAAGAGGGAAGCAGCAAGAACGAGAAGGATGGAGACGAAGGCGACGCATCTGAAGGAGACGCAACCCCCTCTGCCCCGTCGTTTCCTGGGCGTGTCGGTCAACGACAACTTGACCGGCGACAGCAGCAACCTCGACGTCACCACCTGCCCCCCACATTTTCTCAATCGATCACCCTCGCCCCGTCGCTCTCGAATCGCGATCCCGCGCGAGAACTCACCCCGGTGAGATCGGAGATGACGTCGGAGAACTGCGTGGAGAGCCTCGGCGACGCCCCGCGATTGTTCCCGAGATCCACCAGAGGAGAATACGGGAGTCCGGTCGTCAGGAGCGAAGAGGGTCGCTGTCGCATTTCGTTCATCCTCGCTCGCTTCGGTCACGCGTCGATCGCACGGGCGGTTCCAAATTACCTCGGAGAGACGACACAGACGCTTCGTCGAGAACCGAGCTAACAAAAGAACTCCTTCGCCGTCTTTCCCTTTTGGTCTTTTTAAATCGTAGAGAGCAAGTT